GTGACGACGCAGAGTTTCCTGTTGTTGTCGCCTGCGATTCACTTGATGCGAGTCATTGCGGTACTTCCGGTTCTCGGTGCGCTTTTCCCTCATTCGAATAGTTGGTACGTATTGTTTTCGGTAATTTCTTATTCGCGCGAATTTGAGTGAGCCAACTTGAATGCATTTTCGTTTTATTTCGACTGAGAATGATAGATTTATCTTTGGTTGAAGGTTAAATTGCTCGCCAGTTTTCGCGGGTTATGTTTTATTTAATATTTTCCTTCTACTCGGATTCAATTTGATATATGATGCTTGACTTCAGCATATTGGGGAATTGACGGTAGAAATGGAAGAATTTTTCTGAAAGAATTAAAAATATATTTTTCTCCACGAAGAAAATTTAAATTAGCCCTAGTGCATGAAAAATCGTTTTCTGAAAGAATGGGGGGGTGTTATTGGCCTTTAAAGATGCATGTCATTTCAATCTAGCATGTAGAAAAGTTTTGTGGCATTTTATGAAGCAAGTGACATCACATCTTTTATTCTCCAAAAAACTTTTTTCCCTATGAAAATCCGAAATCATGTTTTTCGATCTAAGACATTTTGAGGAGGTCGTGAAATAATTTCAACATGATTTTCTTGCCAGGAGGCTGAAATTTCTGGACTTCCTCTTCGCTGTTCTGCCAATCGTAGCTTTGTGCATCGTTGGAGAACCCTGGATTTGCTGCCTCATTTTCCTAGTCATCGGTAAATGGCTTTATTGGAGACCGAAGATGAAGTCTTTGGACGACGTCGTTTTGGACAATGCTCTGCACATTGGACGCGGATTGCCGCTGTTTGGCACTTGCATGGTGATTTTAGCCGTGGATTTCCGCGCCTTCCCGCGAATTTTAGCGAAAACTGAAAACTTTGGCTATGCATTCATGGACGCTGGAGTTGGATGCTTTGTTTTCGCCAATGGATTGTTCTCCCCGTGGGCCAGGAATTTGCCTTCGTAAGTGTTTTTTATATTTTTCTTAGTGCTTAATTTTTTGTGCAGAATTTCCACCAGATCCGTATTGTCTTGGTTAATGGACTTTTTTCTGTGAGTGATTTCTGAAAATTGTAAGGATCAAGGAATTCGAAGATGTGTGTAAAAGCAAAATGATTTTAAAACTAGCTTTTTCCAGATTCTTCCAAAGGAAAGTTTCTCCAGTTCTGTGGTGTTTCGGATAATGGACTTGATTGATTTTTGTGTGAAATTAAGTATCAAAAAATTGTAATCAATAAGTATTATGAAGACCTAATCTTGAAATCTGATGCGTTCTAAAGCTAATGATTTCCAGATCCCGTGAAAATTTCTTTCATGACATCGGGAATTAATTTCTGATCAGATTTTTTGAAGAAAAAAAAGAAATGGCAACAAAAACATTAAGAAACTAGATACACATTTTTGTTCAATTCAGAAATTTTAAAAATTGTAATCCACTTGGGAAATAGAGGCTGAAGTTCGTATTACCCGATGAAAAACTTTTTCCTCAGAAAAATTCCCTGTCTTATCATCCCAAGAGTCCACTATCCGAAACCACACAGAAATGGTGGCGGCGAAAGTCGATCAAGATATCCGTCCCTTATCCGGGACACCGGACAATTTTTTTTATTGATTAAAGTACAGTAGTTCTTGAGTCAGAAGGGTTGAAACGGAATTAAAAATCAACAAGACTTGAAACGACGCTCTGTTGTCGTTTCTTTTCAAGATTCCAGAGGGAATCGAGCGTTGAAGATTTTCCGCAACTTTTGGAAAGAACCCGACGAGTTCTCAAGAGCTGTTCTCGTTTTTTGCTTTTGGGACTCCTGCGAGTCTTGGCTGTGAAATCTACGAATTATCAAGAGCATCAAACCGAGTACGGGGTTCATGGCAACTTTTTCTTCGTCCTCGCAGGGCTGAGGGTGAGTTTGAATTTAGATTCAATCGCCTGACGCTGATCTGAATAAGTTATTGCCGTTTGTTTGATTGGTTATTCTTTCAGCTATTTTCCGGAGTTTTTGATCCCATGCTGAATCGGTGGCAAGTTTCCCCTGAATTTTTGTCGTGGGTTCTGATTGCGGTGCAGGAATTAGGTCTCAAGCTCGGACTTGAAAACTGGGTACTCGAAGCTCCGTTGAATCGGGCAGAACTCGGTTTTGTGAGTCAGAACCGAGAGATTTTCGTGTCATTCTTGGGCTACGCGGCTTTGTATTATGCTGGAGTGAACTTCGGGAAATGGGTTCGAAATCGTCAGCGACGGTGAGAATTACTGATCATTCGGATGCATTTTTTATTTTATTTATTGAGACGGTGAATTTAGGTACAGGAATTCCTTGACTTTTGGCGAGAAGTTTGTGGCGCTTCATTTGGCTTCGAATGTTATTTTCGGCTATTTCATGCCGTCCAGGCGACTCATGAATTCGGCGTACTTCTTTTGGATGGTAAGGACGTGTCTTGAGGGGAAATGTCGAGAAAGAAAATATCTCGTGGGAGAAACAATCTAGGCGAATTTTGTTGGACAAATTATTGTACGGAAAATTGCGAGTGAAGAAATGAAAAAGGACTTGGAAAAAGTGATGGCAAAAAAAAAGCTGTTGCAATTTACCCTTTTCACACACTTGAGACAAAATTAGGAAGGGAGAAATTATTCCCGTGTCCGAAATAGGATTGATTTTGCTCGTTGACAATTTCAAAAGTTTCAAAGATTTCAAAAATTGTGATTCGAAATAATCTTCAGCATATGAAAATGTGTTATCCATTCTTTCCGATACACGATTGGTTGATCATTTTAAATACCATACGTATTTGAAGGGATTTAGATATATTTTTTCTCGCTGGTTGTTCTGGAAAAGACTCAGCCGGTAAGGATCAAATTTTTAAGAATTCTTTTTGGTCCACATTCTATTCGCAATTTTGCGTGAATGTATTTCAAACAGAATTTCTACTTTTAAGGTGTTGGCGAATACCATCCACTACCGGATCTGCTTGTTGATCGAAGAAATATTTTATAATCGCGTCTGCAAAATCATTTCGGTGCAAATCGTGTCGCAGAAAACAGCTGTGAGTAAAAAAATGTGAAGAGTCCTTTCAGCAAACTGGCTGATTGACTGACCAGCCAACAATTGCGCTCAATCATTCGCAACTCTTGAAAAAAATTTTCAATTTTACAGATACAAACCGCTTGCAGCATAATTTCGGGATCCTCAAGCCCCTTTCTTCGGAAATTTTCCAGGAATGGAATGTTCGTTTTCCTAGTTGCAAACCTTTTCACCGGATTGGTGAATTTGAGCTTTAATACCCTGAGTGTTGGTGGTGTGATGACTGCTGTGATACTTTTCTGCCATGCGGCTTTACTCGGGATATCATCCGAGGTTTTCGAATACTGGATGCCTGGAAAAGGACATCATATTCCGTCACTAGTGACATCTGACGAGAAAGGTGGGAATGGAGACGGCCTGAAAAAGCGACCAGAGGAACCAAACAGTTTTCCCAGAGAAGACGATTCTGAGCTGACGAAGATGAACGTCGAGCAGTTTCAGTCCTATTTTCAAGACAGTGATTCTGATGCATAGTGATGAGGCATGTGTCTTCAAATGACCTTGACGACGTTTCACGAAGAATTCAAGATCATCGCTGATCCACTAGACGTCGCGAAAACCACGACAGAAACATAAAATGTGGGCTGTGTATCCTTGACTTGACCGGAGCTTCGCACTGGCCTTGCTAGATGTCGCTGCATGTAAATAACTGCATTCAAAAGTTGATTTTATGAAGAGGAAACTTTTTTTAAGGGACTTGAGTATGAAGCGAATATTCGTGAGATTCAATTGATTTTCTTGACGGGATTCAGAAGAAGCGTGTTCACTTCGGCGGTTCCATTGATGAATTCACGACTGAAGTTCCCAAAAAACTTCTTCGGGGGTGAAAAAGGCTTAATATTCACTTTTCTTTTAAATGAGGAATTGTATTCAAAGGTTGAGGCTTGTGTCAGAAGTTGTAGCAGTACCTTTTTAAATGTACTTCAACAATGCTTCTAAGTTTGATGATGCCGCAAAATCTGAAATCTTTCGAATACTGTATGGCTGATGAAGCTTAGTTCGTGACATTAATACCCTTGTACAGTATTTCCCATCACCTTTCAAAACTGGCTTTGCAAAGGGCAAAGCTTGAATATTTTTTGAAAATTTCTAGGATGAAGGCGAAACGTTAGAGCCCGCCCACTTGAATTAAATTGAGAATTCATGAATGTCGTGACGTGAACTCGCCCCTTGTGTGCTCGATACCGGTTATGCTAATCTGACTTCCAGGGGGCTTGTCTTGTTGATCGCACCTGTGCTGCTTCGACTTACATTCCAGGGTTTCAGATCGGTCCTGTGAGCATCTGTGAAATACGCCGGGATTATTATTTTTTTGATAATCCGGTTGTGAGATAAGGAAAAAAAAAGTGAGAAAGATGTTGGAAAGTTTCGTGCCTGTGCCGGAAGGCAGTGATTTCACCATCCACAACCTGCCGTATGGAGTATTCACTTCCGTCGGACATAATTTTGAAGTGAGGCTATACAGTTTTACGTCTCTAAATCGAATACCTTGTCTGAAATCGAAGTCCTTGTCTGAATTCATTTTGAATCGATGTATTAAAAAACTCCCCTAGTCAAAGGCTCTTCTCCTTGAACCTCCATGAATCGAAATTTTCTGGAAGCTTTTTGGCCATTATTTCATTGCCACGGGAATCAGAAAATCTATAAAAATATAACTTGATGCATTTAGAAAGGAATTGAAAACTGATTGGGTAAATGAAACCCTTGACTC